AATTTCTATCTGCTTCTGTCTGTTCCTGTTTTTTTAATCTTTTTTCTGAACTATGTGGACTTGATTCTCACTTTAGGGAAAAAGTAATAATAAAAACAAAATACAATTGAAGAAACACATTGCCTGGGCACTTGATCAATATGGGTGAAAATACTGCTTACCTTGAAAAGCTTCACAGCTCAGCTCATATGTTGTGTGTAAAGGGTCCCAAGTGTAATCTCTGGTATCTTCAGAAAGCAGGGATGGGAAAGATCTCTGCTTCAAATTTAGATAACCACTACCAATAGGAATTAATATAGGGACACTTATGCTTACCCTAAAGGGGTTTTCTTGGATTGATGTATTCAGGGGGGATTTGTCATTGCCTTTGTCTTAGACTGAGCGAGTTTGAGCAGCCAAAGTCATTTACTGGGCTTCCACGGCTAAGTAGGGATTTAAAGCCTACTTTCTTAGACTCCAAGTCGAACATTAAAACTATCACACCATGCTTACCCGATCCAACTAGGCAGTATCATATGTTTATCAATTACTAAATTAAAAGAATATATACTTGTTTATAAATCATCATCATCATCATCATCATTACTTTATTTCTTAATTAGTCGCTCTCCACCAAGGTGCTCCGAGCGACTTACAATTTAAAACAGTTTATACACAATATAAAACATTCAATATAAAAACATTCAATATAAAAACATTCAACATAAAAACATTCAACATAAAACATTCAACATAAAAACATTCAGCAGTGACTATGGCAAAATTTGATCCGGTTACTTAAATGCACAACCAAACAGCCAAGTCTTGAGCGCCTTTGCAAAAGGTCGCAACTCCGACATTGCTCTAATATATGGAGGCAATGAGTTCCACAGAATTGGAGCATAGATCGAAAAAGCTCTATGCCTTGTAGCTTCCAAATGTGCCTCCCTAGGACCCGGTATGTAGAGGAGATTTTCCTGGGTGGATCGAGGTGACCACTGATGGGGAAAAGGAATGAGGCGGTCCCTAAGATATAAAGGTCCTTGGCCATTTTGAGCTCTAAATGTCAGGATCAGTATCTTGTAAGAGATCCGATGTTCTATTGGTAGCCAATGCAGTTGTTGCAGAATCGGTGTAATATGGGATCTTATAGATGATCCCGCTAGCAGCCTGCCTGCCGCATTTTGGACCATCCGAATCTTCTGGGTCGTTGACTTTGGAAGGCCAACATATAAGGCATTGCAATAGTCCAACCTAGTGGTGACTGTTGCGTGGATTACTGTTGCCAATGCTTCTACCGAAAGGTAGGATGCCAATTTCCTTGCCTGGCGAAGATGAAAAAAGGCCTGCTTACTTATGGCAGTGATCTGGGCCTCCATCGTCAGCGATGAGTCCAACACAACCCCAAGGCTTTTAACAGTGGCAGATGGAACCAGAGCTTCCCCATCGAAATCAGGCAGAGACTGGGTTAATTCTGGCGGCTGGCCAGGCCAGAGTATCTCCGTTTTTGCAGGATTGACTTTTAGTCTGCTTGCTCATAGCCAACTCATCACTGCTTCCAAACACAGCTTAAAGTTCTCAGGAATCGCAGTTGTTCCAGGTTCGAGACGCAAGAGTAGCTGGGTATCATCTGCATACTGGTAGCACTCTATGCCAAAGCTCCGCACCAGTCCAGCAAGTGGTCGGACGTAGATGTTAAATAACAGGGGCGAGAGGATAGCACCCTGGGGAACTCCACAGCAAAGGCAGGAGCTTTCAGAGCTTTGGCCTGACCACTCCACCCTCTGTCTCCGGTCCCGGAGGAATGAATTGAACCATTTGAGGGCTAAACCTCGTACACCAGACATAGCCAATCGATGAATCAGCAAGTCATGGTCCACGGTGTCAAATGCAGCTGTGAGGTCCAAGAGTACCAATAGCGCTGATCCGCCTCGGTCTAACTGACGACGAATTTCGTCAGTAATAGCTACCAAGACAGTCTCTGTCCCATGACCTGAACGAAAGCCTGATTGAAAGGGGTCCAAACCTGCAGTCTCATCTAAGAATTGCTGTAGCTGCCCCGCCACTGTCCGTTCAATCGCCTTGCCCAGGAACGGAAGGTTTGAAACTGGGCGATAGTTACTAGGTATGGCAGCATCAAGGCTTGGTTTTTTCAGGAGAGGGTGGACTACTGCTTCTTTAAGGCAATCTGGAAAATTTCCTTGCTCCAATGCCAGACTGATATGCCAAAAGACCCATTAGATTGGTAATTCATCTATTGCCTAAGTCCAGTCAAATTGAGCAAGAATCTGCCTCTCCATAAATAGATTTGCCCTGCCCCAAATTCAATCCAAGTTGCTATTAATTGTAGATCATACTTCCCCATAGCAGCATGTCATTTTCTGCCCTTGTGTGACCTTGCCACCCTTCCATGAAAAAAGAATGGCTTTTTAACCTAGTCGACCAAAGCAAAACAAGATTCATAATCTGAAATGCTTATAGTCAGATGAATCCAAGCTGGAAGCACAATGTGGCTTTTTAACAGGGTGGAAAGCATTGGAACAGATTAACAAGGGATGTGGTAAATTATCCAACACTTGGAGACCTTAAGTGAAGCTTGGCTGCGTTCCCAAATGATACGTTGTCATTCAGCTGCAAATAATTGGGCTTAGAATCAGAATTGCCAGGCAAAACTCCATGACCTGTGCCGAGAGGTCAGCTTAAATGTGAAAGTGCTGAAATCTGAATCCATGTCAACAAGCGTGCCAAGCAAACTTGTGTTGCTCTGCTGAATACCAGTGCAGGGTAACTTGGCATCAGTCGACTGAGTACTTGGCTGTTTCTTAAAATGTAGCAGACTCATTCAACTCAGTTGGATTGATAAAAATATATACTTTATTCTTTCTCTAGAATGCTAGAAACATGAATCTAGTAGCAAGAACCTTAGTCCAGGCTTACAAGAATATGAAATGGTAACAATAAATATTTTATTTACAGACATCTGCAAAAATCATCAGCGATCCCCACAAGTTTTCAGTGCATATTACTTACAGGATTTGTAGTTTGGTGAGACTAGAGTGAAGGGGGAATTACAGCTGTAAAACAAAAATCAATATTTTTCTACAAACATTTCCTTGGCAAAATGATCAAAGGTTGGAGGGCATGCTCACAAGAATACACAGACATACAGACATTTGGAAATAGTTGCAAAGACATGTAACACCATGTAATCTGAGGGAATTGTCTGCTTTTCTCTGAATTTGACAAGTGCTTAGAAGGTCAACACTGACAGTCCTTAACGGGTCAAGACACCATGTTGCCACTGAGTTGTGTACAGATGGAACACCAAGGGATTTAACCCAAGGCCTTGAGTAATTTTTACCAGCGGCCCTAAAGTGGTAAGAACACACTTAAATATAGAGTTCTCCTATGCGTGTTCCATCAAGAGTAGTTTCAGGGCAACTGAAGAGTATTCTTACTTGGCCTCCAGACATCTGTATTGGGTTTAGACTAGAGCCTGAATTGAAGTGCTGTGATTTTATTTTAACTACAGTGGCAACTTCCTATGGAATACTGGGAAGGGCCTTTAAAATCCTCATTCAAAGAGTTTCACTGGTGTCCATCACCAAACTACAAATCCCAAGAATCCATAGAATGTTGCCATGGCAGTTAAAGTGGAATCCTTTCACTGTAATTGTGGAGTGCTGAAATGGCCCTGATATGGTTTAGTTGTGCCTGCGTGTAATGCTCCACTTACGTTCCACACATTGAGTTTCCAATGGGAGTGGGTAAACAAAATGCAACACAGTGTTTAAACATACATACATACATACATACATACATACATACAGCCAACATTCTGCAATCTTGTACAGTGTTTCATCTATAAGAAATAAAGTCCTCAGAGGCTGTGCTTCGTTTGTAAAATGAAAAGTGCCAGGCTATGTGTCAGTCATACAGGCATGGCAGAGGGGGAGCCTGGGAAACTTACATTTGAGACTACATCTCTGAGAACTTCCAACTAGAATAGCCACTAGCCTTTGGTTGCTGTACCCCCCCCCCCACAATTAACGTTTCCAAGCTCATCATGGAAGTTATCTCCTATGAACATGATATTAAACTAAGCATGGGGAGGACTGYCTGGAATAGTAAAAAGGCTGTTCACTATCCACGATAGATGAACATAGAGACATCCCCCGTGTTTCTTCCCTCTGTTGTTCTACAGGAACAACAACCAGAGGCTCCTATTAATGGTAACAGAGTTAAATAATCTGGAAGCAATGAGTCCTAGTATTGAAGATCACAGTGGCTCTGCCCTGATGAAGGAGAGATCTGGTTAAAATTAAAGCCTTGCAGTGAGAATGTCAACTATCTGGCAAGCACATACATATATATACATGTACACACACACAACTAGGGAAGGCTCTGGTGCAGGGGACAAACATCATTCCCAAGGAAGGAGCATATCCCTCCCACTGACTCATTGCTTAAAAGAAGGGCACTCCCCTATAGAGAAATACATCCATATACTATATTATTACCTGGGTCAGTCAAGGATGTACCAAATTCAGCCTGTGAGTTTCATATGTTTCCCACTAGGCTCCCTTTTTGCAGCACCTCTTTTTTATTCTGTAAAAGAAATTGACATTTCACTTTGCTGTTCATGTGGCAGGCATCTTCCTCACCTAGGAAAATACTACATTGCTCCTTCTACTCTGTTTCCAGATTTTTCGAATGCTGCTACTGACACTGACACAAGTATGCCCCATTTTAGTTCTTCTTGCAGTCCTGTGGTATTCAGGACCTTGGAGTTTTTTCAGAGGGGCAGCAGAGAGTTTGCCATAGGGAAACCATTGCCTTCCTGGGCCAACAGAGGACGCTGTAATCTTGTGGAGAAAGGTGTGTGTGTACGTACACAGAGGAGGTAGGAGGGCTGTCTTGTTGGCAGGGCTTTGATGTATGGAGGGAAGCCTGCTATCAGATGAGGAGTGTCACTGTTTTCCATGGAGGTAAAGGAAATCCTTGTCTTGTTCTCTCCTTGCTCATAAGCACTCATGCAAGACTTGCATATTGGTGCAGTTCAAGCAGCTGACATGGCAGCACCAGTGGAAGGTGCAGTTGCAGCGTTCAGTGACCCGTTGCATCCGGGTCCGGTACCCCCTCCCGCAGCACAGCAGCTCACAGCCGTCCAGGGCTGGGGAGGAGCTGTTGCAGGAGCGACCTGCTGTGCCCACTGTGCCTGTTTTGCCACTGTAGGTGCAGAAGTTGGGTGACTTCTCGAAGTAGACCAGGTCGTGAGGGGAAGGGGGCTTGTGGGCCGGGTTCTCTGGCTCGAGGTGGTGCAGCTCCACCCGGGAGGCCCGGTTGCTGCCTTTGTTGCCATAAATAACCCGAGAAGCACCATCAAAGCGGTCCTTTAAGAAGTCCCCCACTGTCCGGAAAGTGGGTAACCGCATCCAGCAAGTCTTGACTGTGCAAGAGCCAGACATCCCATGACACTTGCACTCCTGACGCATCTCTGTGAAGACAGTCTATAAGACAACAAAAGTGACACCAAAAGTGTGAGAGACTGGAACAGAATTTCCCTGCATTGCTTGCGAAGGTTATTTTTACTATTTACTCTACTACTGCTTATTTTATTTTTATGAGTAGTTTACCTTTAATAATAATAATAATAATAATAATAATGAGGCCCCAGTGGTGCAGTGGGTTAAAGAGCTGAGCTGTTGAACTTGCTGACCAAAAGGTCGCAGGTTCGAATTTGGGGAGTGACGTGAGCTCCCACTGTTAGCCCCAGCTTCTGCCAACCTAGCAGTTCAAAACATGCAAATGTGAGTAGACGGGAAGGTAACAACGCTCCATGAAGTCATGCTGACCACATGAACTTAGAGGTGTCTACAGACAATGCTGGCTCTTTGGCTTAGAAATGGAGATGAGCACCAACCCCCAGAGTCAGACACGACTGGACAGGCATGTAGCCGGGGGGGGGGGGGGGGGGGCGCTCGGGGGGCTTCAGCCCCCCCCCCCCAAATTCTCAGGGTGGTCCGCGAAAAGGCCTTATGGTGCATTATTTAAACTGTTATGTTTATTCATATCATGATCTGATCACCATACTCAATATATCCCATATGCATGGGGGTATTGGGGTAATGATACAAAAGGTTTGCTAGGCTAGACCCTCTTTCCCTCAGATTCAGCCCCCCCCCCCCCCCCCCTGAAAAAAGTTCAGCCCCCCCCCCCCCCCGAAACGAAATCCTGGCTACGAGCCTGCAACTGGACTTAATGTCAGGGGAAAACCTTTACCTTTATCTTTACCTTACTTTTAATACTACTTTACCACTATACAGCCAGCCCTCTGGATCTACAGAGTCTTCATCCATAGATTGGACGATCCATGGATTGAAAATATTCAACAAAGATAATCCAAAAAGCAAACTTTAATTTTGCCATTTTATAATTTGTGTGCCATTTTACTGCTACATTGTTTAGAGCTGGGATTCAGCATCCACAGATTATGGAATCTACAGGGGTCATGGAACTAAACCCTACTGCAGTGGTTCTCAACCCATGGGTCCCCAGATGTTTTGGCCTTCAACTCCCAGAAATCCTAACAGCTGGTAAACTGGCTGGGATTTCTGGGAGTTGTAGACCAAAACACCTGGGGACCCATAGGTTGAGAACCACTGCCCTAGTGGATATCAAAGACGCACTGTACTATATTTTTGCTGAACATTTCTAAGGTAAGTTCTTGTGGGTTTTTTCGGGCTATATGGCAATGTTCTAGAGGCATTTCTCCTGACGTTTCGCCTGCATCTATGGCAAGCAACCTCAGAGGTGAGGTCTGTTGGAACTGGGAAAAAGGGTTTATATATCTGTGGAATGACCAGGGTGAGACAAAGGACTTTTGTCAGTTGGGCTAGGTGTGAATATTGGCAATATGCTAGTATAACCATCTTCAATCTGATGTCCATCAGATTTTGCAGCTCCCAGCATTCCTGAGCATCAGTTATGCTAACCAGGACAGAAGTGAGCTGAAAGCCTGCCATGGAATCCCTACTGTTCAGCTTGCACCTCCTCTCTTTTTAGTGCTGTGATGCTCCTCTCAGTGGGCCCATTTCTCTGTTTCCTCACAATCCTTCCTTGCAAATGGGAACTATCCCCCTGGCAGACTGTGGGCCCCCCCTCCCTCCCATGGAATGTGCCTATGGCTCTCCAAGCCCACAGCTTTCCCTTCCAAAGGGGTTTTTACTGCAATTAGAAGAATTGGAACAATTTCCTTCCAGATGTGTAAGAGCCCACATGGCAGCCGGGCGTGCGGTTCTGGCCTTGGCTAGCATGCATAAGGCTTGCCCGCTAAAGGATACCTCCCCACCTTTTTGTGGGGAACGGGCATCATGTCCTCGCACAGCCCCCACCACCTTTCCATTGCTGCCATCTTTGTCTTCCCACTCCCTCCCTGCTGTAGTAACATATCCCTTGCAAAAACGCAAACAGAGATGTTGCTTTCTTGTTAGTGGAGTTCACACATGCCTCTGTCAAGAAGACTACATCCCCATGCATGCACGAAGTGCAAAGTGCTTTGCCATACATTAGTGTGCAAATGGTTCTTTGTATGACAAGTATTTCTTGGTATACAAGTAGATCTGATGTCAGGCAAGCAGGTTTGTGGCACTTGTAAAAGTGACAGCAAAAGACAGGTAGCTCTGAGCCACTGGGAAGTTTTCCTGCCCACCACACCACTAACAAGACAAAAGATGTGCAAGTACACTCCTGTGTGATTGTGTACAACTCCCATAACGTTCAGTGGGGACTATGTGAGGGAAACCCCTAATAAATCACAAGAGTTCTTTACAGTTGCCAATGGCCAGACTGGCTGGGGGGCTCCAATAACACAAAAGCAACTCCACCAACAGTGGACCCCGCCCCCAAAGTTTTCCATAGCTGAGAGGGGATTCAAATTGTGGTCTTCCAGTGTCCTGATCCGACACTCAAACTACTATGCCATACTGGCTCTCAGGAAGATATTTTCAAGAGGGAATCAGCTTTTGCCAACTTGCCTCTCCCCATGCCAATGTGTTAGAACAGTGCTTCTCAACCTTCCTAATACTGCAACACCTTAATGCAGTTCCCAATGTTATGGTGACCCCCAATCATAAAATTATTTTTGTTGCTACTTTGTAACTGTAATTTTGCTACTGTTATGAATCATCATGTAATTATCTGATATGCAGGATGTATTTTCATTCACTGGACCAAATTAGGCACAAATACAATACACCCAAATTTGAATACTGGTGGGGTTGGGGAGATTTGGGAGTCATAGTTGCTGGGATTTATAGTTAACTTACAATCAAAGAGCATTATGAATTCCAACCATGATGGAATTGAACCAAACTTGGCACACGGAACTCCTATGACCTCCTATGACCAACAGAAAATACTGGAAGGGTTTGGTGGGCATTGACCTTGAGTTTTGGACTTGTAGTTCACCTGCATCCAGAGATCACTGTGGACTCAAATAATGATGGATTGGGACCAAACTTGGCACAAATATTCAATATGCCCAAATGTCAGCACTGATAAAGTTTGGGGAAAATAGACCTTGACATTTGGGAGTTGTTGTTGCTGGGATTTATAGTTCACCTACAATCAAAGAGCCCCTTGAGCCCCACCAACGATATAATGGGGCTAAACATCCCACACAGAACCCCCATGACCAACAGAAAATACTGTGTTTTCTGATGGTCTTTTATGACCCCTCTGACACCCCCTCGTGACCCCTCCAGGGGCCCCAACCCAGAGGTTGAGAAACGCTGTATTAGACCATAACCTTATAATCCCTAGAAGTATATGAGTGATAGGCATTGGGCATTGTGGTATAACGTATCAGGGGGAGTTCAGATTGAGGATGGTTAGTTTAAATGTATATATGTCAGTAACAGAAACCTTTGAACCAACCAGTCAACTCCTGCTGACCTCACCTCTCAATTTATCCCTTGCTCACTTTCTCACATACCTATGTCATCGTCATGCACAGAGCTTGGAAGAGGACCTGTTTTAGACAACAGTTCTCAGAATCTCACAGCTGGAATGCCCATGGGTCATGCTGATAATAGGATTATAGGCTCTATAATCTAAAAAGTAGTTATAATCTCTATCACATTTTTATATATACTTGCTAGCTCATAGAATCTTACCAGGCGTCCTGCCTCATTGTTGTGCAAATTCATCAGGAAACGCAGATCCCGCCCCTTCTCGTTGGAATCCACAAACTCTCGTCCAAAGACCCTGCCGAAGTCAACGTTGTCACTGCAGCCACCCCAGTGCCAGTCTGGACCACCTGGGCCCCTCCGGCGGTAGTCACAGGTGCACGAATCAATGGAGCCTTCTGAGCATGAACGGGCCACCGAGTGTGTGACCCCAGCACTAGTGATGGCAAAGATGAAAGCAGTTTCTCGACAACCTAGAAGTTGGAAACAAGGAGAGGACATGGCAATGTGCAGCATCAAGCACAACACCTTATGGGATATAACATTAAGTCTGTTTGTCTCATTTTAATATTAGTTTGCATTTTTAGTTTTTAAAAACACCAAGAGCATGTAAAATTTATATTTACTTTCATGTTTACTTATCTGAATACAAACGTTTCCTAATGTGCACTTTAGCCCCAAGCTATTTTTTTTATTAAAATTCAATTTTGTGTACCATTTCCCCCATTATACAGTTTTATATGACTGTTTTCACCTGTGAACCATATCACTATGTTTAGAAAAAAAATCCTTATAACTGTTCCAGTTTGCATGTTGAAATGTTAAATTTAAAAGGCTAACCAATATAGTTTCTCAGTCATTCCTCGAATAATAGTTTCTGAGACTTTGGTAAAAAGCTGTCCCAATACTTATTTTCTTCTCTCAACCCAGCCTCTCAATCTCTTTTTGTACAGCATCTATTAGAATCTGAGGCTTCTGACAAGTGTATGCATGTTTGTCCAGTGCCTAGAAATGACAGCTGCTTGTGGAGGTTTCATTCAAACTGCTTACAAGGAAGCAAGCCCCCTTTGGCTACAACAGTAACACTTTTGAGTAAACATGGGCAGGATTAGAACAAGATGCATGGCGTTAGGACAATTATGTAGCATTGCAATAAGAACAACGCAGCCACATGTAGGAATGCTCTCATTTGCTTCTTCTGTATCGAGGTGCACATTGTGGCAAGGTTGCAGCACCCAACATTCATTCCTATTGTCTTATGCTGCCTAAGTCTGCTGGGGGTTGAAAGCCAACAACATGTGGTAAGTTTTAAGTTTCCAAACCCTGCTTTGCACAAAAAAATAGCACTGGAGAGCAACATAGAAGGCATTTCCTTTTCAACTCTAGCTGTAAAATACAGGAGGACAGGTTGTGTTTGCTAGTAAAGCTCTTGGGCTCCCCTACAGGCATGATAGGATATGTGATATTTTTGACAAGTTACAGATTTTACAATGTGTTGTAGGCCATACAGCAACCCAGATTTTACAATGTTGGGAACAGAAGTGATCAGCCACAAGACACAAGAGCAGGGATGTTTGGGTTATATTGCATTTCTCTGAATCTCATCTGTATTTTCATGCATCCCTTCTTTCCTATCATCTTGCAGGACTGTATTTCTTGGAAGCATTATCCTTCATATTATATTAATATGAATTTTTAATATACAGGCAGTTCCCAAATTATGAACAAGATAGATTTTGTATGTGTGTTCTTAAGTTGAATTTGTATGTAGGTCAGAACAAGTCTTTTTTTAAGTGTAGCTCCAGACAAAAAAATGGATAGCATTGGGAAGGGTTAACACTCCTGTAGTATTTGCTTTGCTATCTGTGTCCCTGTTCCGAAGATTTCACCTCAATTTCTGTCCCTATGATAACTGGATTTTGAAAAAAATGGCTTGGTGTGGAAACAGGGATTTGGTGATAAAGCTTCGGTGGAGATACTTTTCCCCATGACAACTTTTCCATGAGTAATTTTCCCTTCCTAAGGGTAGATTTCCCTCACTCCCTGTTGTCTCACCCCATTCTTATTTATTATTTATCATTTATTTTTTATATTTGTATACCGCCCTTCTCAGCCCTTAGGCAACTCAGGGCAGTTAGGGTTAGGAGTTGTTTATAAGTTGGATGTTTGTGACTTGGGGATTACCGGCACATATTTTAATGTTTTTTTTCCATTATTTTTTCCAACTATACACAATTTTCTCCATTTCCACTTCTAAAAATATATATTTGGGCTGCTGCTGCATTTATTTCTCTGATATACATCCAAAGCCTCATAAATCTGCATTTTCCAGAGGCAGGGTGTGAGCATTATCCTACAGTGATGCTCAAGAGGGGACCTTGAACCAGTAAACTTCCAAAACTTGAGAATGGTTTTTGGACTACAATTCTCCAGCCTACCAGCTGGTGGCAATGCTGGCCAGGAATTGTGGGAGTTGTAGTCCAAACAAGCAAAATTTCTTAAGCCCTGCTATACTTTGATACAGCCTCCTTCACCTTGACTAGACCACCAAAATGAGCTGATAATGGTCTCTTCCTCAGGTTGCAATCCCATATATCCTACGGCACATAATGGTCTGCACACAGAGATATGCAATGTGAGTGCTACACAGCATGGCAACAGTAGACAATGTGTCAGCAGCTAGGTGCCATTTCAGACTGCAAAATATAGGATGCACAATCACAACACATAATGCACAGCATGCAGTTTATTAACACTTTGTTCCCATTCTCTGTGTATAACTGAGATAAGTCAATCTGTTTGGAAGGAGAAGTATACTGACACAGGGAACTGGAGTAGATAGTCTTTGTGCATGACACATATTTTTGTCTTTAAGGTACCATTATATGTAGAGTTTTACTGAGGCTAGAAGTTTTAACTTCCCATCCCCTCACTAGTTACACAAATGGGAAGCGAATTGCCTGTTGTCTCCTCACATTCTCACAGTATAAATAGCTTTACAGTTCTTTATAAACATAACCTCCACCAAATAAAACTGTCCAATTACACTGTTGGACATAAATATCACTGGGACTAAGCTTTGCTTCATACATGATGGTAAATCTCATTGACAGAAAAATATGTATAGAATATCTTGGGTGTACAGTTCCTCAGGTCTTTGAGTGTGGTTTTTTGCTGTTGTAAAAGGTAAACAACAACAGAGTCCATGACTTTGTTGTTGTTTTCTGTCAGGTCAACTTTGATGTATGTCAGCTATGTGGATGAGAGTCCTCCAGGAGCACTCATCATCAGCAATCCTGCTGAGGTCTTCCTCTTCTACTCCCTTCTGTTATGCCAGGCATTATGATCTTTTTAAGGACTCATGTTGTGTCATGATATGTCCAAAGTATAACAGCCTTTGTTTACAATCCAGTCAAGACTATATAAAAGGGAGGAGGAGAGATGAGAAGGTAATAAGTAGTGATCCAGACAGAAGGTGATATATTAAAGCTTGTGTGCTTAGCTTCCACTGAAAGAGGGAATGGATGTCCAATCATTCTACAGCTTCTTCCTTGGAAACTTTTAAACAGAGGCTGGATGGCCATCTGTCAGAGATACTATGATTGTGCTTTTCCTGTATGGCAGGGGGTTGGACTAGATGGCCCATGTGGTCTCTTCCAACTCTATGATTCTTTGAAGATGTGGCACACTCAGCTTTAAAACATTGCAGAGTAGCTACAGCCACTGGAAAAACTTTCTGCTGGACAGAAAGGGGGGGGGCTGCCTTGACCAGCAGTGTACCTAATTTCCTCCAACTGAATGGTAGTGTTCTTTTGGTATGTGGAGGGAGGCAATTCTGGAGCTGTGTCAGGAACAGCTTGGGAGATAATTTAGATCCAAATTAGAGGCACAGGGCACTGAGACATGCCTTCTGGTGTAGCAGATTTCTATCCCTCCAGAGACAATGGGAGAAGAGTCTTCCATAGAATACAAAAAAGTGGGGGAAAGTCACACTTCCCTTCTTGCCCAGCATAAGACTAATAGGACTTAGATAATCACACACCCATTACTCTTCATATTCCGAACATGATTTGTACATGGTTAAAAAACAAGAATAGATGAGGGGGGTGTTATTTGTTTCTACAGGAGTCATTTCAGGATTGCCCTGGAAGAGAGACTGAGGAGACCAGGGTTGAAATCTCCCCTGAGTTGTGGAAACACACTAAGCAATCCTGGGCAACTCAGCCTAAGAGGAAGGCAATGCCAAGAACACCCCAGGATAGGGACACCAAGTATGGGGACTGGCTTGAAAACACATAACAATGATGACAATATTCCAGTATTATAGATACCACCTTAGTAGAGACATCCTTTAAAAGAGTGTGGAAAGCTTCTTTGTTACTGTCTCATTAGTTTTTTTGCAAGTTCCAGTAATCTTATATATGGCCTTTTACCAAATGTAACCTTGCATAAATATCTGAGATGCTTGAGACTGGATTGTTTTGGATTTCAGAATACCTGTATTTGCATATACATGTATAATGAGATATTCTGGAAATGAGACTCAAAGCTTAATATGAAATTCATTTATGTTTCATGCATACCTTGTAGAATTTTATACAGGTTTGGAGATCTGCAAAAGTGGACCTTCTCATGTTTGATGCAAATACAATACAGGACCTTTTTGGTGACTACTCCCAGACTGAGCAACGTTTTTGCAAAGAACACAGACTCCCTCCCTATGGTCCTTTCACTAGCAAGTCAAGACCTTTCTATTCAAATAGGCCTTCAACAGCTCCATGCCTATCATAGCCCAGGATTTTGAAATTTACTACCAGGTGGTAATTTAAACTTGATTTAATGGGTATTTCAATAGCATAAATATTTTAATTAATATTTTAGTGTACATTATTGGTATACTATTCATTTCATTTTTTTAGGAGAAAGAGGGTTTGAATTAAATAATTAAATGATGTAAGTAATAAGTTTTGCAGAGTTCAGTGAGGCAGGTTCCTGAATAGTGTTTAAATGTTGTATATGCCTATGTTTAATGGTTTTAATGATCTTGTTTTATAGTTATATATCAGTGTTTAGTTATTGTGATTTTATTTTATTATATGTTCAGTATGTTGGCACTGAATTTTTGTCATTAATATGTTGTAAACCGCCTTGAGTCCCCCCAGGGGTGAGAAAGGCAGTATATAAGTGGACTAAATAAATAAATAAATAAAATTTAAGAGCCAAATATAAATAATGCTGTCACACAATGTTTGATTCATTGGAAGCAATTTTAAAAATCAAAATATTTTAATTTCCAAATGTTGGCATCCCCCCCTCCCAGCCAATCGATTTCTTTTTCTGGGAACTAAAGGGAGATGAGAGCAAGCAGAGACATATTAGACTAACATGGTCTTAGAGTTTGTGGGAAAGGAATGTCTTTCCTCTTCATACTAGGGAATGGAGGGAGGGATAATAATAATAAGTTTACTATAAAATCTAAAAAAATACATGATGCCTGATGTACAAATCCCAGCTGTTAATTTGTTAGGATATATGCTGTGTTGTTTATATGTTGATCCCTGAAGGGTTTTTGTTTTTGTTTTTTTGCACAGAAGAGCTGCATAGCCAAAATGCTTTCTCTACACAATTCAAGTCACTCTTACATTTCCAGTGTTTTCTTCCTCACAAACACTTATCACCCTTGTGCTGGGATACAGGTTAGCATGAGAAAATTCCAGGTTCACATCCCACAGCCATTCAGGAAGTTCACTGGTCAATTGCCTTTTCTTAGTACATACCAAATGATGCATGTCTCTTTGACAGCCATATATGATTCTTTGAACTCCAGGAGGTAATAATGTTATAAAAATGTAATAAATCATAATGACTAGTTTAGATAAGTTACTTTTTGGAGGCAGCTTGGAAATGTTGGTTCGGAATTTGCATCACTACTTTTCACAGGAATGGGCAAAACCACTTCTGAGGATTCCTTGTCTAAGAAAGCCATTTCCATGTTGCCAGAGAGCTGCGGGATGTTCCGAGATGTATCCAGCTAAAGAAGATTGCTGTATGTATCTCCACTCAGCCTCTCACTTTGGTGAAGATGCAGGTACCAAAAGGTAGGTTTTGGGAGACTTGGGTCATTGCATGTGCAACTGACTTATGACATTAGGCCTAAATACCGTAAAGACAACAGATTATATCTGATTTTGGAAGCTAAGCAGGGAAACACCCTTTGTACTTAGATGGGAAACCACCAATTAATACTGGTTGCTGTAGACCATATTTCAGAGGAAGGAACTGGCAAAACCACCTCTGAGGATTCCTTGTCTTGTAACTAGGGTGTATTTGGTTTTATATTTTATTTTAGTTTGTTTTATCAGTATTTTTATTTTATGATGTTTTAATTTTAATTTTTTTTGCTACTTTGATTATTAAATTATAGTTATGTTGTTATTTATTGTCTAATGAGTCTTGTCCTGATGTAAACTGTTTGTATGGCTTTTATTTTGTCCTTGAATGTTTGCAATATTTGTTGGAAACTGCTCTGAGTCCCTTTGGGGAGACAGGGCGGTCTTTTAATTAAGTTGTTGTTGTTGTCTAAGAAAACCACATTAAATTCATAGGGTCACCATAAGCTGACAGGTGCCCTGAAAGCAGAAACACATACAATTACTAAATAGGATGCCAGTCATTGGTTTCTGGATTACAGTTCCAGAGTTGCCCTGTGAAAAGGAAATACTACTGCTTATAAACTTTCTAAGCTCTACTCCATGTATCTTCAGGGTGCGAAGTTGCAGGTCCATTTTTCACCCTGATGAGTGGGCTTGCTGACTCTCTCCCCTATCTTTCTTATTCTGGTTACTCCCTACGGAAGGCAATTGCCATGCGTTGGCTTTGGTAATTCCAAAGTTGTGCTGTCTCTTGAATGCCAAGGTAAATGCAGAGAGTACATTCCTGTGGGAAAGACTTGTGGCACATTCTTTTGTTTCATTTTGTATTATTTCACTGAAGAAATAAAACCAAGTCTGAATAATGATGAGCTCAAACATGCTTGGAAGGTCCATATTTACTGGCACCAAATACTGACCTCCAGCATTGACCTCCAAACATTTCCCATGTTTTCCCTTGTTTTTGTAGTTGTGTGCCTTCAAGTCAGCACTAAAGCAAACATACCACAGGGTTTTCTTGGCAAGATTTGTTTAGGATAGGTCTGTGATTGCTTTGTTTTCAGGTTGAGAAAGTGTGGCATGCCCAAGCTCACCCAGTAGGGTTTGAACCCTGGTCTCCTGGAGTCCTTGTTCAACATCCAAACCACTACACCATGGTGCCTCTTACTATTTATCTAGTGTTATATATTTTAACATAAAAACAATCCTATACCATTCTCATTTATGTCTCCCTACTTCTACCATTGAAAACAAACAAACAAACTCTACCCTTCCCCCTTTTCTTAAAAAAATGGTATGGTTCTTCCTATACTTTTCTTAGGGGTAAAAAATACTGAACTGCTCCTGGATTCCTTGCTGCTTACTGTTATCTCTGAGGTGGATGGAGATCTGGGACAATTAAACTTTGATCTATTGAGATAATGCTACTTCAACTTGAATTACATTTGGAACTCAGTCTGACAGACAGATTTAGAAGGAATTTCCTTTTATCTCTTCAGCATATACTAGACTGTTAAATCATGAAGAAAAGAGAATGGGAGAAATGTGACTGACCAACTAGATCCTAACACAAAAGGAATAAACAGTATTTCATTGCACAATAGTCGTTTTCACATAATAGTCACACCCCCATTTTTGGGTCCCGGCTGCGGTATTTTCAAATTCCTCACATAATAGTTGCACCCTTGATTTACTGGTAGGCATCCTCTCCACTGTAAATGCCCATCTATTTCCTCGCACACCCACCCACACACTCACTCGGATGCACATCAATCCACCCATCTGCCTCAAAATTCACCTCGCTTCATTCACTCGTCCACCTGCCCAAAGACCCACTTGTGCGCGCACACACTCACTCGCTCCCTCGGAAGTCCATCCATCCACTGACTACCCCCTTCCAGAAACACTGACTTCAAGCAGCATTATTAATGAGGAAGACCACATAAAATAGGATAAACTTTTACTTTTATGGAGAATGGAAAGAATCCACCCTCCTCTTCCCTTCCACCTGCTAGAGTAATTGAATGAAAACGACTTTTGAATCTTACATTCAGTTTTTTAAAAAATAATGTAGTAAGTAGGAGGAGAATGAAAATGGGGTATTTTAAGAGCAGTGGAGAAAGTGGGATGATAGAGGAAAAAGTGAGATGACTGTCCTAGTCAAATTGGGACATGGGAGGAGAATTTGAGTATAAGTCAGAAATGTTTAGTAGAACCAGATCTCTCTTTTGCCAACTCCTTGACAGCCCCTCTTTCACACAGATGCTGTCAGACAAGCGCTGAGGCTGGCCAGTTGAACCTTACTTAATTTTAATCATAGAGCAGCAGTGTCATGGGCCCACAGCACATTGCTTTCTGGCCACCATTCTTTGGAGCTAGAATCGGTTGTGTGGTTCTGTGGTGAGCAGGCACATACATGTTTTTCTACAAATCACCATTTAGGAAAAGGAAGAGGAAAAGGAAAAGTCTCTCATCATAAGAAGAGGTGAAGAATGGTAGACAGGAAAAGGAACAGCATAAACTCCCCTGGACATTATGCACACCTTTATATTTCTTTCTTGAGGAATACACTTTTATTATGTATGCACACAAACAGACTCAAAATTGGGAAACAGAAAACAAACAATGATGTATCACAAAATCTGCTTCAATTGTACTATTTTCTGTATACGTTTATATCATAATATACCTCTCAATTAATGAAAAGGTTACACTGGTCCATGGATCGCACAGAGAAATATTTGGCTTGAGGTAACCGGTTCTCATCTAAAAGAGGAACAAGGAATGTATGGCTCTTCATATTTTAAAGATTGCAACTCCTATCATCCTTAACAATTGGCTATGGGTTAATTGGAGCTGTAGCCCAAAAACAGTTGAAGGGCTAAAGTTGCCCATCCCTGCTTTACAAAGATGGGGAAGAACACCATCAGCATTACTAATGAAGAACACATAGGCTAGGAGAGGTTGCTGCAGTTTACTATTGCCTGAGCTTGCAGGAAAAGAAAAGATTCAGCCTCCTTCTATTCCCCCGTACTAGTCCAAACTATTTTTACACTTTGAGCTCTGTTGGTAGCAACAAAAATAATCTGAGGATGAAGGAAGTGGAAGGAGGAGAGTACAACAGGACATTTTTGAACCAAATGAAAAAGAGAACACCAGAAGATTAACTAGGACCGTCCCTACCAAATCTTGACAGTTGCAAGGTGTGTCATTTCAATCACTTTACCATTCTGGTTCTCTTTTTCTACACCCTCTAAAGCAGTGGTTCTTAATTTGTGGGCCGCAGACCACCAGTGGGCCACAAGAACAAAAATCTGATCTGTGAGCCTCCTTCCTCTTTATTTTATTTCATTTTATTTCTGCCTGCCACTCCTTCCGTGTCATTGACCAGCCTCAACCCCTTGGATAGACCACATCAGAAATTAGAGCTGATGTGGTTTATCCAATATAATTTTCTGAAACAGCTCTCAAAATAACCAAACCAAATCTAATGTTGACCAAAAATAGATTCATAACCCTTTTGGTACTAATGTTGGAGAGTGGTCCCTAGTCAAAGTGGTCCTTGGTCAAAAAAAGATTGGGAACCTCTACTCTAGTTTTTTCAGATGCACCGAGCATAACTGCACCAGAATTCCAGATATGGCTGTGCCATGGATTTTTTATATTGGAAATTTTAATTTAGTTTTCTTTTCTAATTAGGAGGAAATCTGGACATTTTAAAAAGAGTTTTAAAGGTAGGGAAACAGAGGATTAATTGGGACCATCCATGTCAAATCAGGTTTTTTAATGATACGGAGTTATAGCCTAAAAAGCAAGTTTCCCACAGCTATATCTCCTTTTCAATTAATTTAATACCCTCTATTTCAAAATTTTCACACAAATAAGGAACTAATAATCTCAGTCCTGTAATATACCCAACCCAGAGGAATGAGAAAATCAAAACACAAGTAGCCCATTGTTGACACACGCACGTTTTCCAGTTTTTTCTCTCCTGTAACCTCCTTACCTCTGTTGACAATCTTGCCAAAAATGTTGGGCCCTGGCATGGTGGGGCAATTCCAGCGCCGGTTGCGGAATTGCCACTTGCATTCCTTGATGGCGCTCTGCAGGCCACTGCTGATGCTGTGAAGGATGCCTGGGTTCTGGCGGATGAGCTTGCGCTGCTTGCGGCTCAGCAGCTGCAGGGAAGGATCCAGCACCAACTGCACATTCTTGGAGTCAGTCAACAAGTTGGTGGAAGAAGCCACATTGATGATTCCCCTGGAGGTGTAGGAGGGAGAGAATAATTGTAAAGGCTTAAACACTGGGGAGGCATCTCCTGAACTCTGAAGTCTCGGAGTGTATCTACTCTGTCGAATTAATGCAGTTCGATATCACTTCCACTACCATGGCTCAGTGCTATGGAATCTTTGGAGCTGTGGCCTTACAAGATTTTTCGTCTTCTCTGCCAAAAAGTGTTGTTGCCTCATCATACTACATCTCCCATGATTCCATAGTGCAGATTGACACATGGCGGCTAAAGTGGTGTCAGTGTGCATTAATTCAACAGTATAGATCAGGGGTCCTCAAACATTTTAGACAGAGGGCCCGGTCACAGTCCCTCAAACTGTTGGAGGGCCGGATTATATTTTGAAAAAAACATGAATAAATTCCTATGCACACTGCACATACCTTATTTGTAGTGCAAAAAAACCCTTAAAAACAATACAATAATTAAACTAAAGAACAATTTTAACAAATATAAACTTATTAGCATTTTAATAGGAAGTGTGGGCCTGCTTTTGGTTGATGAGATAGGATTTTTGTTGTTGTGTGCTTTTAAGTCATTTCAGACTTAGGTTGACCCTGAGCGAGGGCCGGGTAAATGACCTCAGAGGGCCATATCCAGCCCCCGGCCTTCGTTTGAGGACCCCTGGTCTAGAGCCACCCCCAAGCAGAGCTTGGAAATGTTAATTTTGGGGTTTGAGAACTTGCAGAATTCCCTGGTCACACAGCCAGTAGAGGTATAATCCAAAAGTGTACCTTTTCTTCTTCTCCTAATATACAAAATGTACCAAGCATTCAGATTCCATTATGGCATATTGCTCTGTGTGGAAATTCAAATCTTTCATTATAGTTTTATTGATTGATTGATTTGCTTTGGATTCCTGTTTGAAATGTATTCATTTTTATGATATTAGAAGGACTCAATTAACAGCAGCAGCCGGCATTTTTACATTAAAATTGAAATGAATTATATTTCTAAAGGATTCAGATATATTGCGTTGTATGTCAGTCATTTATTTGCATAGAGCCCAGTTGTTTCATTAAGTACTGTGGCTATCAACATTAGATCCTTAAACACATAGCATTGGGGAAAGGCTAACAATTATAATCAATGAAAGATGAAATAACAAATAGAATCATAAAATAATAAAGTTGGAAGAGACCACATAGGCCATCTAGTCCAACCCCCTGCCATGAAGAAAAAGACAACACATAAAATCCGCTAATAAGCAATTTAAAAGGGCTTATGGCAGAAATGAAGCATTCAGACTTTCTCAAGACTGCCTTCCTTGCCAAAGTCACCAGGAGAATCAACTAAAACCTATCAGAGAGAGAAGTGGGGGGGGGGGGGGCAGGGGCAGCTCAACCCATTATGCAAAGTAAGCATTTGCAGTATAATTGATTTTGCCCAGGGGCGCTCTTGGGGGAAAATAGACCTTGACATATGCGAGTTGTAGTTACTGGGATGTATAGTTCACCTACAATCAAAGAGCATCCTGAACTCCACCAATGATGGAATTGAACCAAATATGGCACACAGAACTCCCACAACGAACAGAAAATATATATCAGTGATTGGTTGGGGAGGGGGCAAATACTGTTTGCTTACCGTTGAAAATTACCTAGGGCCGCCTGGGGGGGGGTGCCTCAACACTGTAGGACTAATACAGTTTGACACAACTTTAACTGCCATAGCTCAGTGCTATGGATTCAGTGGGTTTGTAATTTGGTGATGCACCTGCTGTTTCTGACAGAGAAAGCTAAAGACTTTGTAAAACTCCAACTTCCAGGATTCCATAGCATTGAACCATGGCCCTCAAAGTGATGTCAAACTGCATTCATTTCACAGTATAGATGCACCCTGAGACTGAGACCATTAAGTCCAATAGTATGTGGTAAGACACAGCTATCAAAGGAGGTTGAAAGGCCTTTTTAGGCCAGACATTCTAGGGCTTAGAGGCAGCCACAGAGAAGGCCCTCTAACCAGCTCTTATGGAACTCATAAGAGGCTATCCACTGATGCCCTAAATGCACAGCCAGGCTCATGTCAAATGTGAAAAACCCACAAACCAATGTTAAATATTCCTGCATGTCAGTCCCGAAGAGGGGACTCATCTGCTACTCTCAGAATCTTTATTCAACCATTTTAAAAAGTCAATGTGCTGATGTCTTGCAAGCCCCAATAGCAGTGGGTCGTATAGATGGCGTTCCAATCCAGTTATTAAATAGGAGGAGAGCAGAGTGTTCCCATTTTTAGCCAGACTCTACCGCAAAACTTCTGGAGCACAGCCAAAAGGAGATTTCATATACATTTGAAATCTGGTGCATTTGGCATGCCTGACATATTATATGGAAGGAGTGAGTGAGAGAATTTCCTTCCTCAAATTAATTTCATCAAAAAGAATACTGAGCCTGCCGAATGGCCTCGTGAAACCCATTAAAAACACATGGGCCGTGGTTGACTTCCTCGACCAAGGGTGGGCTACTTTCACAACTCCAGCGTGACAATTTATCTGCATTTTGGGTCCTCCAAATTGCCACAAATACCAAAAAAATAAGAAAACATAAGTGGCTCAAAGTTTACTTCTGGTTTTGAAAATTGGGTATTTGTGATAAAATGGTTACAACAGTCCCAGGAGACCACAGGCTTCTACGAGTGGCAATTCAAACATACAAACTTTAAGTAAGATAAAGCGAAGATAGACTAAGATGTCCCAAAACATGCCCGGGGGGGGGGGGGATGGGGACGGGGACAGACAACACAGCAAGGCCACATTTTATCTATTCCTGTCTTGGTCCAATTTACCAATGTTTTAGCAGGATCATCCAAGGTAGGATGATTTAAAACACAATGTCACCATCGAAGACATCTAGAGGGAGCAGGGCGAGGTTGGAAGAAGGCTGACTGTGCAATTAACAGGTGTATCTGGCAGAACCAAAAGTAAGACATTTTGCTTCATTTATCTTCTCCTTAGGCCAAGTCTAAATGCAGTCTTTGCAGGGGTGTATCTAGAGGAAAGGGACAAAATGGAGGCCTTTCCTCCAAATAAGAATCCTGCCACCACAATTAAATCTTTTATTTACTCTCTAAATGCCTAAACTGTCTACTAACTTGAAACTTCAGCTAACTGTTTAGAACTACAGTTTAGGCATCCAAAGAAAAGGGTAAAGTTACCAAGGGACAACGAACATGACACTGTTCAGTGTGTCACTCTGTTGAATGCTCAAATTTGGGGACCGAACGAAAATCTCCAATTCTATCAAATAAAAAACACACATTTGGATGATCATCTGGAGCTCGACAAAGCAGTTTTCAGAGTTATGAATGCTGGTTCATGTTGCATTGGTTTCTGCAGGATCTAAGGCAGTGGTTCTCAACCTGTGGGTCCCCAGATGTTTTGGCCTTCAACTTCCAGAAATGCTAACAGCTGGTAAACTGGCTGGGATTTTTGGGAGTTGTAGTCAAAAACATTTAGGGACCCACAGGTTGAGAACTACTGATCTAAGGGCAGATGTGTGTAAAATATATGGCAATGATATGTATGTGTGCGCATGCACACCCTTAAGTTGCTTGTTGATTTATGATGGCCCCATAAATTTCAGAGGGCTTTCTTAGGAAAGGAAGGCTCAGAGTTTGTTTCCTACTTCCCTCTTCTGAAATACAGCCTTTAACACCCAGCATTTTGCATGGTCTCCCATCCAAGTACTAACTACAGTTTACCCTGGTTAGTTCCCATGAGCAGATGAGATCTGGTGGCTTTGGCTAATCTCTGTATGTGCTTTCAAGTTATCTATCAACTTTTGGCAACTTCATGAATTTTATAGGGTTTCTTGGGACATGCATAATTTTATTACACAGTAATTTAGTTTTACTAGCAAACTGGAGGTTAACCAATCCCTTATAAGAGATTCAGACACATATATAAATTGTAATAATGAAATACATGGGGACACAACATATCTCATCATAACCTTTCATTTATATTTTAAAGAGATACAATTTATTTAGTATTTCACATAAACTCAAGTTTCTTATAACATTCATGCTGATATGCTAACGTCAGCTGACATACTATAATGTGTTATGACACACAGTTTGGAAAGGTCTTGCAGTGGAAGGTATTGAAAACATTGCCTGTGAAGTTACTTTTTTCACCCAGTGGCCCTCAGTTGCCGTTCTGCTTGCCCCTTGGTTCCTGGATATCAGAGAGAGCCTGCCTAGCAGCAGCATACGTTCAACCTACCCCAACACATTTGATACAATGGAGAGGATCCATATGATCAGGAGCAGCATGAGCAAATGCAAAGCATCCCTACCAATGCATTTTGCAACCAAAAGGAAAGGAAGTTGTGAAATCCTATGGCAAACTCTTCAGGAGTTGCACTAACAGCAGAAATCATACAGCTGAGCATGAAATCAAACCCTGGTCTCCAGTATCATAGTCAGATGCTCAAATCATCATGCCCCCTGGTGTTTTAAGGTAAAAGGTAAAGGTAAAGGTTTCCCCTGACATTAAGTCTAGTCGTGTCCGGCTCTGGGAGGTGGTGCTCATCTCCATTTCTAAGCCGAAGAGCTGACGTTGCCCGTAGACACCTCCTAGGTCATGTGGTCAGCATAACCCTAACCCATTACCTCCCTGCCAAGGCAGTACCTATTGATCTACTCACATTTGCATGTTTTCAAACTACTAGGTGGCAGAAGCTGGGGCTAACAGCGGGAGCTCACGCCACTCCCCAGATTCAAACTGCCAACCTTTCGATCAGCAAGTTCAGCAACTCAGTGGTTTAACCCACTGTGCCACTAGCCCATATTTAAAGCCATGTTGAATTATTCCTTTAAAACTATATGCTAATTATAGACGACTGCCTTTTGAGGGGACGCTTGTTATGCCTAGAAGGTAGGATAAATTCAACTGAAACAAATAAAAGTAAATGAGATGCTCTTTTCCCACTGGTTAGCTGTGAGCCCTCCTCTTCAGTTTTATATGACAGTA